GGTCTTCTTCGAAAAGCAACTATTCCTCACTGGCAACGCCCAGGACACATACCATTTTTGGAATGTATCGATTAGAGAAGGCCTAGGCTTTGCTGCGCACGATATACAACATGGGACGCTGAGATCCACATCACCAAAAATCTTTGGGTGAAAGAGGGATTGTCCGACATATACTTGGCTTACTGGATTCTCAGGTGCATACGATTTAGTCTAATGTAAACACATGCACGCATATTTACGTATTTGTACAAAGAATTTGATCGTGCAATATTACCTAATTATTACACCACAAAAATGGCAGTTGTCCAGGAGTCCGATTGTGTAATTCGTACCCGCATCATGAATTACGTCATTGGCATTTAGCAGGGACACATTGCAAACAAGTACACAAGTACTATTAAATGTGGTTGTTCCTTATATATTTGCTGAGATGCACCCAGCATTTCCTCATCATGTCATGTCAGCATATAAAGAAGAGGTTTTTATGTGATCTCCTTTGCAACAAAAACTGTTTACAACTTACTTTATTATTTATCTCAGTTTCGTGTGAAATTGATCTTTTGTTAGCCGACCTTTCTCCAACGATTACTTTCATGACAACGTAATTATTTTGCCTGTGAGTAATGAAATCTGTATTCTAAAAAATTGATTACTTCTTGCTCCATATTTTTTCTAATAAGAATAGGAAGAGGGAGTGAAATTGATTTGGCAAGGGAGGGGATTTAAAAGGGGAATTACCTTTTTCTGTACATTTTCTCCTCTGTCTATTATAAGCTGTAAACTACAACTATTTAACGATTTGTTGTATGTATTTTTTTATACGAATTAATTAAAAGTATTTTATATTTAACTTTAAAGGTTATTTCTAACAAAGACAAAAAGCTAATTTCTGAACACAGATAGTTATTGCCAATCTTGTATTTGACATTGACAGACTGACTGACAGATTTAATGGCATTGTCAATGTCAAATTCAAATGTTAAAATTATGTTTATTTTGTTTATGTTGTAAGTATTTTTAAAGTAATCATATGCGAATTAGTTTCTTTAGGTAAATGTGATATTATGTAGTAAAATAGTAAGTTAAAAATGAACTGTGACAAAAATCTTGACGTTGTTTCTACATGTAATACATCAACTCCGAAAAGGCGGCGACTGGGAACTAGAAGAATTTTAAGCGAAGTGAATAACAAAAATGATTTATTTACGAACTTTGTCAGACCTCAATTAAGTACCAAAGGTCTAGTTACACCAGATTGTTGTGATTCACCTCCGTTGCCTTGCAATCAAGTAGAATATTTAAGTGATTCGGGAAATAATACTAGCGACGACATAAATTGCCTACCGGATATTACGGAATCATGTTTTAGTGAATATGTTGAAAGTTTTACATCTCTTTCAAATAATGAAATAAATAAAAAAAGTCCAAATCTAGTTAAAGAAATAGATAATGGATCCAAAGACATGTTTACATCGAAATTAGAAGACGAAGTTAGTCCAAGTAAATGTAATGAAGACATATTAGAGAAACATTTCAGAGATGAAATCAACGAAGGTTTTGAAGCAATCAATCAATCAATTAGTGTTATTAAAGATATAGACAACTTTTATGAAACAAAAGACTCTTTTCTATTGGATATTCCTGATAATTTTACACAAACAGAACCAAATGATAAATTAAAAAATAATGAAGCTATTAAAGAACATTTTTATCAGTTACCTATGATAGTGAAAGGTTTATTTAAAACATATAGAAATATAGAAAAGTTATATGGTAAGTTAATTTCTAATAAATGTCTTTATGAAGATTATTTTTTATAACTACCTACAATGAAGCTTTGAAAAAATATTAAAAACAAGAAACAACCATCCTCCCAGAAATTTTTTTATATTTAGTAATAGAAACTCTCAATTTATAAATAGCTGAGTTTTACCATAATGTAGTAAACTCTGCTACATTGTAGATTCATATAAAGGTAACAATTACCCTCTGTAACGCGACTATTCCTAACAAATTTAAAAAGACCCCCTATAACATAATTTCTAGTTCTGCACTGTTGAAATATGTAGGGGTTTCAACTGCACAAATTCCTATTATGTGGTCCGAAAACTGCATAGTTTACTGTAATTATATTATTGAGGTCAAGTTGCATGTATGTGTTACAGATTGGCAGGAGGAATGTCTAAACTTAGATGCCATTCAGAATCGGAACAATTTGATTTATGCATTGCCAACGAGTGGAGGCAAAACACTTGTAGCGGAAATACTAATGCTACGTGAAGTTATTAATAGGAAACAGAATGTGCTATTTATTTTGCCGTTTGTTGCTATTGTACAAGAAAAGGTTATTTTTATTTTATTTTAGTTTTGAATTACAAAAGTTTGAATGGATGTATGGTTGCTAATCACTAATTTGGATAGATAATAAAATAACTGAGCTACTTACTTGATAAAATAAGTTAAACACTTGATAATATCTTTTTCAAAGTTTTGGTTTAAAAGTAAATTGTCAAATTATTTCAGATATGGTCTTTATCACCGTTTGCGCTGCAATTAAATTTTTTAGTAGAGGAATATGCGGCAGGTAAGGGACACATACCGCCTAAGAAACGCAGAACAAAGAACAGTATTTACATCGCCACTATTGAGAAAGGCTTAGCTTTAGTTAGAAGTCTCATAGAGTTGGACAGATTGCACGAAATTGGTCTAATAGTGGTAAGTATAAATTAAAAAAAAGATAAAATAACATAATATTAAAATGACTTACAAACTTCAACATGTTTGTAATTTGAATGTAGGTGGATGAACTCCATCTGATAGGCGAGGAAGGTCGCGGCGCAACACTGGAGTCTTTATTGACGATTGTTAAGTTTGCTAATCGTAAGTTATAATCATATTTACCTAGAAAATAGAAAATGCTGGATGAAAAATCAATATTTTTGTCAAAAAACAGAATTTAAGTCCAGTTATTTATTTTACTATGTAATCGGAAATATATGTATTTTATTATGTTATTTAATTTTTAAAATATCTTGGTCAAACGCAAAGTTATATGTTAAAAAAATAGAAATTATACAAGGCAAATTTCCATAGGCAACATCCAAATAGTAGGTATGAGTGCAACCATAGGCAACTTGGAAGAGGTAGCGGAGTTTCTGAATGCTGAAGTGTATCAGCGGGAATTCAGACCTGTGGAGCTGACGGAGTATGTGAAGATAGGAGACATGCTGCACAGGATCGTGTGGGGACCAGCCGGCATGGAGACTGTGCCGGAGAGACAACTTAATTATGATGTAAGTTTGTCTATTTTATATTGTTTTTTTTAATTATTGTATTAGTAGATTATTATACCAACTAAACTCTAAGTTTGTGCTAGTGTATGGTTTACGATAATAGTCGAATGGCGGGATTCGAAACCATGACCACATGATCACAAATCCGTACTCATATCGGTGCTTGTGTTCTTGAATTAACAAAAATTTAAAGCATTTATTTATAGTTGATTAAATAATCGAGTCAATAATTGAGGACATATTTAATAAGGCTGAGTGAGGCATCATTAACTTTTGCAATGTACTGTACATTGTACGTGGAAATTTGCAGTGCTTCACTTACAGAATACCTATTTACCTTGTTCCTAGTAAGGAGACAAACTCCGCCATATATATAAATACCTAATTAGGTAGTTGAGTTGTGCAAACAACGTGATCACAAAAGAAAAACAATTACCACTGACCGACCTTTTTTCCTATAGACAATTTTAAAAGTTGCATCCTATAAGTTATTGTTCTGTGTCGTCTCAAGTAAGAAACGTTTAAACGATTACAGTTTTTATAGTAGAAAATCGCCAGATTCCCAGTGTACATATATGTAGCGATGCTCAGTACACGAGCGCGGCGGCGCGGCTGGACCCGGACCGGCTGGGCGGGCTGGTGGCGGAGGTGGTGCCCGCCGCCGGCTGCCTCATCTTCTGCCCCACGCAGCAGAACGCGCAGAGCGTGGCCATGCTGCTCTGCAAGATGCAGAGGAAGTGAGACACTCTATAGTCATTCATTTCAGAAATTGAGTAGAGGCAAAGTAAAACAAAATACACGAAAAACAAAACAAAACAAAATACACCAAAAACAAAATATTCTCAAAAAAAACAGTACACTAAAAAGTAACGAAATA